TTCTGTCAATTATATTACGTCATCTAGCTTACTAACACTAACTCAATCTTACTTTAGTTGCTGTCTGATTAACCTCATTTCCATATTAGGTCATTCTTTTATTACCTGATCAATTATATACACTTGGAAAACCTCATGTACTCACGCAAATTATTATATTCAAATTCAATCTGAACGAAGTATATTCTTTACAATTATTTCTCTTCAGATTCTTACAATTGTAAAATATAATATTTGTTTTCGTCAGCCTACCACGTTTGTAACACGGATATGACTATTTATTTTGACACCCCATAAGTAATCTGTTATTCTACGTTAAAGCTGTATCCGCCGCATAACTGGCATTTATTGTAAAGACAACAAATATTATGATTGTTTTATAATTGCAAGAACCTGAAGAGAAATTACTGAGAAGAATATTCTTCGTTGAGATTGACTTTTAATTCATAAGATGGGTATGCTTCACACGCATATATAATTATATATAAATGCGATTATACTGCTATGTGAATGAATTCGCCGATAACAGTCTCTTCACTGAACGTCTTCTCTTTTTCATATGAATCACTGGGGATTTTCAACCTAAGGAATATATGAAATTAATTATTTTGCCACTTGACATTAAGCCATGATTATAATCACAAATATTTTAATTTCATTTCATATTACTACTATTATTATTTCATGTATTCACACCTTTGACCTAATTCCCTCACGGGATATAATATCTTAGAAACTAGGTATGTGTGCGATTGTACACCTTGACAATAAATTCGCTTTTCAAGTATTGGTTTCGTAAGGATTTTGTTTGATTGCATGGAGGATTTCACCATGAGCTGAGATCAGTTGGAGAACCACTGGAAAACCTGGGAGTACTGGATATCTGTTTCGTCCTCGTTTAGGTGCGTACTGTTGAAGTGAAATCCTCCATGCAATCAAACATAATCCCTACATAACCAATACTTGAAAATTCATCTGATGCTCACTGCTGCCTGACCCTTAACAGGCAGTTAATCTGCGGTTCTACTAGGAAGCCGTGACCAGTAGGTTACGGCAAGTTGAAGATGAGGCAGTAACTCATCGAAGAAGACATGGCGAAGTGGTCGCGCTATGTCGTCAATTGGCAGCATTTAGAATTCATGGGACATTGGATAGGGTCCCAGTGGCTCAATTGGTCTAGGAGCTCGCCTTGTAACCAGAAGGTCCTGGGCTCGAACCCCGCGGTGTGGGTGCGTACTGCTGAAGAGTCCCAAAATAGGAGGAAACAGCTGTCCAGTACTCCCAGGTTTTCCAGTTGTTCTCTAACTGATGTCAGCTCATAATAAATTCCTTGCTGGAAAGAGACCCCTCGCTGAATATTGTGTTATTAATTTGACATTAATCACTGCATATATATAACGACTGGTTACATGTTTCTTTTGGTAGTAATGCCTTTCGAGAAGTGACCTTCAATTGAACTGACTTCAATTCATGTAAAAAGAAATTTTGACTATATATTCATTTTTGATGATTAATAGAAATCCGAATAGTTCTGCTGAAGAGGCTGTGGCAGCTTACACAGCGAAACGTTCAGAAAAATCTCCTTTTGACTTTTTTTTTCCTAAACACTCCGGGATTATTTTAAATACTTTATAACGATTCAATCTGAATCGGCGTTCGAAATTATTCCGAGAAATTCGCAACATCTACGGTCTGGAAACTTATATTACTTAATAATATTAAATGTATAAAGAATGTATTTGATGAAATACCACCTTAGGTTAGGTATGCGGTGAATACTCATTAAGAGGAGTGACGGCTGTTCCAATTTTATATTGCGACCTCATACTTACTGATAAAAACGCAGATATTCAGGTGTGTCGGTTCGCAGGGATTTGACTAGTGACGGGATTTCACCATGAGCCGACTGGGGTTAGAGAACCATTAGAAAACCACCTGGGAGTACTGCCAGACTGCTTTTTCGTCCTAGTTTGCAGATATTTTTCAGGCGTTGTCTTTTCTTCAAAATATAAATAAATCATAATTTGAATAATGCGACTCAAGGACACTACAGGTCAGATGCCAATACATCGATCCTATTCGCGCTCTTCTTCTTCTATGCAGTGCACATTGATTGAATAGCCTTCGATACTAAAACACTCACTTCACTGTTGTATAATAGACTGATTGAGTCTCACAACACACAGGACTATGCACAGAAGTGCAGCAGTCCAAGTTGACATGTTCGCTCTATTGTGGCACATATAATAAAGCGAATTTTATTTAATTTTTTTTAATTATAGCTTGATCTTACATAGTATTTTTGGTACAACTATAAAATTTTCAGCATATGATATGGGTAGCCCAAATTTAGCAGGTCGACAATTGATATCAGGTGTGCGTCCACAGGACATCGAACCCTGGACCATGTATGCGCATGGTCGGCGAGAGAGTCCTAACCACCGACACACTAAATTCAAAAACACCTACCTGACTTACAGCGATTAGAAGTGTAGGAGAGGCGGAATAATTATGTGGGGAACTATATAAAGATTTAATGGATCTTGAAGGGGTTAGTTAAGAGAAAACAGCGCCACACTGAGGAGAACAACTATCAGACATATCATATGGATGCGTTGACTCGGCGTTAACTACCAACGCTTTTCCAACCTCATTGCATGTCAGTTAACATTTGATCAATCAGAATAGACAGACAGTGTTAAATAGTTTCAACCTTTTAAAAATTTACCAAAAAACAAGTGGTCTGAATTCGTTGTTTATTGTAACAAAGACAACAACAACTCCAAACTATATACGACATTCTATCCGAATGGTCGAATTCAGGAAGTACCAAGCGCTTCTCTAACTATTATTACTCCACAGGATAAATTCAAGGCCATATCATATCACGAGGACTGTGAAGTTTTCCGTGAATACTTAAGCTAATTGTCACACGTAAACTTTCTTTTACCATACAAATCTGTGTTTTTTCTAGGCTTTGGAATCCGAAAACGATGAAAACGGAGTGAATTTGGGAAAATTTATGTATGATGTGAACGACAAGCCTTTGCAAACTTTCCGCGTCAAAGTAAGTGGACTGTTTTCATCTCACTAAGGCTTTGTTATTATTATGATTGTCGTCTCTTGGTCATCTGAATATTCCCCACTGATGTTAATGAATGCCTCTGGCTTCAATTTTTAACGCCTCGCCCCCACCCCCCCGTGCACATATGTTAGTTCGATTTATCAATGGAAAACATTTACTTTTTTTGAAGAGTAAAACGCGAAAATTGTCATCTTCTCTGGTTAGTTAGTCAGTAAGCCAGTCACACTAGTGAAGGTTTCAGCATATCACTGGTAGCCTATTTATGTACGCACACTACCATCAGATTAAATCTAATGAATGACGCTTTACATGGTCACTTTTAAGTCTCCGTGTGCTTTTGGAAGTGTGTAGGTGATTGTAACTTCCCGGCTGCCCAAACCGTGGAAGTTGATTGATTCTTCGAGTACCTGAAACAGAGAGAGAATATTAGTGTTGCATGACCTCAAAGCCCAGGGGACAACTGCTTGAGGCCAGTCACACGGCCTGTATGAACTGGTTTCTTGGTTTGGTTCCGTATTAGTAAACTTACCGCCGGTTACGGACCACTGTCGGTGGGGTAAGTCGACCTTTTCTAATCCTCTCTCTCCAGAGTGTAGAGACAGCATAGGTGGTTGGTATGCTGGTCATCTGAGGGAAACACCCCTGTTCCCCAGCAGTACGACTTCGCCCACAGACCCCCAGCATAGTGTAAGGAAGATTCTTACATTATTGTAAACGCCTTTGTGATTCCCAATAAATAAATGAAACCAACACAGAACAATAATTGTCCTTACTGTTTCACCACCTTACCCAAAATGAATAACCGTTGGTGTCCTCCTCCTACAAACAAAAGATTTGATCCCCACCTCAGACGATGAAGTCGCTATGTTTAAAACTACACTAGTCGACAGTTGTCAGCAGTACAAAAACAGTAGTCATTCTAGTAAACGTTTGCCGACTAAACAGCATCGAGAAGCCCTAAGAAAGCTGAGGAACGACGAAAACATTATAATCAGTACACCTGATAAAGGAGGTGGAGTAGTACTGATGAATAAGTGCAATTTACGTCGACAAAATGAATTCGCTTCTACCGGATGAAACGAGGTTTCAAAAGCTTAGCGACCCAACAGACGGACGGGGCGGAAAAGCAGTTAACTAGCACACTTAAAAAGCTGAGAAAAAGTGGAGTAATCTCAGAGGTAGCAGCTGACAACCGTCTTAAACCTACTGGAAGTAATACTTCACGATTGTATGGTCTGCCAAAAGTACATAAACCAGGGGGCTTCCTCTTCGCCCAGTCCTAGATACGTTTAATTCCTCCTACCATGGAGTGGCAAAGTGGATAAGTGAACTCCTCCCAATGAATAAATCAACGAAAATTGTCTTTACTGATGTTTCAATACTTTATCCCCTTAACGTGCATAACTGTTTTTTTTTCCAGGAATATTCTAAACCTGTCCAGTTTATTGAACTTGTTATACTCAGTAATCATGGAAACCCGGAATATACCTGCATTTATCGATTTCGTGTACATGGCAACGTGGTTACCTGATCGATGGAATAAAAAACGTCAGCGATTCTTTGTAAATAATAAAATAATACGCGCCTCTTCTGTTTCTGTGTGCTGAAATATTTTCACATGTATCTCGTTTCACCAAGTATCTCGCTTATTCTTTTCACAATCAATCACAACTCTCATTCTGCTGTTGTTGCGAAATATCCTGTCTCCAACTGTATGTATATATAAATCTAACTGTTACATATTCACAAACACCATCTTACCATCATCATCGCCATCTTCGTCGACTTTGTTTTATATATTTACCAATTTCATTGTCTACAACATGCATGCATATAAATTGTTCCCAAATGTGCACTAGTTAAACCCCAATGCCATTTAACAAATAAATCATTTGTAGAAAAAGTAGTGTAGTTAGTTATCTTATGCAACATTTATTTGAAAAATAATAATAATCTGTTAACATCATCGAGAGGAAATGCAACTCTGTCCACGGTGTGTGGGTGTGTCTGTGTGATGCACGCACAGTGGTCCACTCAGCCTTATATGTGTTGCGGGCGGTCAATTGGAACTATAATAATAATAATAATAATAATAGTACACAGACAAAGTGGTAAAAATTAGTGGACATGACTGACTCGCGGTTAATGTAAAATGAATGAGGGTCTTTGTGCGTAATACAAGGAATGGCATGTGAATGAATCTGAGGTAAAAATAATACATAGTCATTTCAATAAGAATCGTGTGTGTAATGTGTTTGCGAAACTCATCGATCTCTGCGAGTAAGGGCTAGCTAGCTTTAGAAGCGAATAGTATTCCCAGAACCAATTAATGGTGAGAACAGGCGGCGGGTGCGTCGGTGAGGCACAGCGGTTAGCATGCCTCCCCACCATGCCGACCACATGATCCGGGGTTCGATCTCCTTCACCTCACTCACCTAGTAATACGACTGGTGAATAGGGAAGGTTGGGTATGGGGCCAGCTAGCAACCTCACCCTGTAAAAATAAACACTGCTACAGAAACTTCAAGCCTCCAGCTTAAAGTCCTATATACCACTGGGAACGTGAAGGAAATAAATAAACAGGCGACCTAAATCCTCTGTTGCGAAACACATGACAGAGGAGACAAGGCATCAAATTGATGTTTTCACAGGTCTTTTAAACCTCTCTGTAAAACCTGTTGAAGGGGAGAGCGTATTCCAAAGTTTGTGGAAGCCCTAGCGAGCAACTAGCAATTAGAAAGCTCAAATCACCGTTATGCGTTCAAAGCAACAATTCGTCATCACACTAAACTACCTTCCTTCGTAAACCTTGTTTTGATACCATACCAGACAGGGTGGATGTACCATTACCTCTGTTATTTGGTTTTGATGATCTTCGTTGTTATTTTCACCTTTAATATGTCCTTTTAACTCAACCTAAGTAGTCTATTTTCTCACCCTTTAACCCTTTATTAATTTCATGTATACATATTGCTATGACAAGTATGTGGAGTGTGATAAGATTTTTCGAAATGTGTTGCACAAATACATTACACACACGATTCAGACAGACAAATTACGTCTTCTTATTGCCTTGTCTAAGTATAGTGATTGCATGTGCAGTGAGTTGTCAAAATACATTACATTAGAAGGAAGACTGGACACCTTATCCAAACATCAATTTCAGGTAACGAATTACGTAATGTAGAAGGCGTTAATCGGATAGAAACTACAATAAAATCATTAGAATTGTAAATTTTAGGCAACAAATCTCACTAATGGTTTAGAAACTGAAATAAGGCTGAATAAGCGAGTTGAGAGTAGTGACACAATCTAATTGACGAGGTTGAGTAGAGCTCAACTACAATCAGAAATTGGACAAAAGTCAAGTTTACATCAGTGGTAATAAGGACGAATGGGGGAAGGAAATATTATAGAATTAAGAAACTTGGGCAAGAAAAAGGTTAAACAAACATTACTTATTTAGTGTCTCGTCTTTCTCCTGGCTGTTCGTTTCGTAATTGTATAAGAATCTCTTTCCCCATCCATCCTAATTACCACTGTTGTTAACCTGACCTTTGTCCAAATTTTAATTGTGGTTGAGCTGTACTCAACCTCGTCAATCAGATCACGTCACTACTCAACTTGCTTATTTAATTTTAGTTTAGTTTCTAAACCAAACTAGGATCAGCTTTACTCACATTACTTGACTAGAATCATTTGGTTGAAGAAGTTTCAGGTATCGGCTAACTGATTCACACACACAAAGCAATTTCATCCTAATTTAAAGAATCTGAACACAATTCTCATGAATGACTGCGGTCATCTGGATGTGTGTGAGTCAGGATCGAAAATTTGAATGTTAGTAAGGAAAGTGGTTTTACAATGCTCACACCACATGCAGACAAACTGACAATACGAATCGTCCAAGTTCCAGTCACTTAGGCAAAGTTTAACACACCACATTTATACTGTTTGTTAGTTAGGTGGTGGTTATTTATTTTGACTCAAAGATGCCGAACTTTGCAGTGGAAAAAACAACAACAGGTATATGTACAAGAAAAAGAATTACCGTGTCCATGCACCAACTGTGGACAATCGCGTTGTACATGTCCTTTGCGTCCACAATGGTAGCAAGTTTTTGTTCGATTGAGTGTCGGTTGCACTTCCTTTTTGGCATTTGATTGTTTAGCCGCTGAACCATCAACTGCATGACAACGTTCTAGAATAGCAGCAATGCAGTCCAACTTCTGAGATTCCAAGGCTTCTTGGTATTTCGAAAGCAATCCTCTAACAAAGGAAGATTTAATCTCCCAATCTTGCTGTGGTCCTGGTGGTAAACTGCGCTGAACAACTTCACAAACCCTTAAATACCATTGATACGGTGTTTCACCTTGTCGTTGAGGTACTTTCGAAAGGTACCTAATCATGCTCAATTCATCCAGAATCTGTTCACCATACAGAAGTGATGATATATATGGCCAATCCTTACGTGATACACTGGAACTGTCTAATATTTTCTGCAGAGAAGTATCACACCAAAGACGAAGACGTTCCACCTTATCTTCGTCAGTGTAGTTCTCTTCTGTTGCCATTTTCCAAAACTGAGGCAGCATTTGACGAACGTTATCAGGAGTGATAAGCACAAGTGGTGCATTCTCCTCTTTTTTAAGTAACGATTGCATTTTAGACCAAGCAGGAAGGTCTGAAGTCGCCTGCTTGTCTTGGTTGACCGGTGATTCAGAAGAATTGTTAGGGCATTCTGGATCAGGTATCGTTGATTCTTTCGTTTTCTGATCGCCTCCAGAAGATTCTCTGACTAAACGACGAGTGTTCACCATATCTCGAGAAACCAAATGCTCAACTAGACGATCAACAACTAAAGTTAGCGAGTCAACTCTTAAACGTAATGAATTGATCTCATCTTCGTCACAACTCTAAAACAGATTTTACACAAATTAAACAGAGTAAGAGAGACAACCAATAAGGGAGTTGGATGGTTTGTTGATATTACAATGAAGAAATGAATAGCTTGACTAGTAAATAAAAAAATAAGTCGATATTTGCTTGTGTATCGAGTTTCGTTTATTGACAACATGATTATTTATTCTTGATTACTTCGCGTTCTGAGTGGTGGACATAAGACTTCAGGCTTGAGCTTGACAGTAAGTAGTAGTGGGGTGTTCATTAGGCTGACGCTCAATCTTCCCTGTTTACACCCAGCTTGCTACTTCGGCCAGGGGAGGTTTAGGTGTGCGTCGACTGAGAATCAAAAGCCCCTGACAACGCAAGTGCTCGGCGAGTATTTCATCACACCTACAGACGTGAAGGTTGGCGAAATCACTCGAAAGAGTTATCAAAATATAGGCGCTCCTCACCTTTCACCAACTAACTGCTTGTCTCTATTGGTCTACGAATAAACGACATTCTCAAAATGAAAAAATCTTAAACTAACATATCAGCTGTCTTGTTTATTGCATTCAGGAAAGACACCCATCCAGACATGAAAATGACAATAAAAAGTTCAGCGAAGGGTCTGTTTTCGATGAATTCATTCCCTTAGCTGTACCCTTCGCAATTGTACACAATTAGGGTTAATGGTGGCATCATATCTTTTAGTAACATATTTTTCTCAACTAACCAAGCTTATTTGGTTTAGTAAACTTTATTGTTAATTCTACCTTTAATATGTCTTTTTAACTTGACCTAAAATTTATTTTCTCACCTCTTAACTCTTAATTAATTTCATATATGACAAGTACGTGGAGTGTGATCAGATTGTTCGAAATGTGTTGTGCAAATACACAGTACACGGTTCATACAGACAAATTACGTCTTCTTATCGCTTTGTCCAAATTCATGAAGGGAACTAATTGTTTTTCAAACTCCTAACTAACCCTTTATTTACTCTTTTTTTTACCTATTACACAATTTTTTTGGACACACTTGTCTCCAAATTCTTTCGTCACAGTCCTATTTTTATGGGTGTCTTTCATACAACGTATCCCTTGTAAATCTTTACGCCACCCACCCCCTCCTAATTACAATTTGATTATTCATCACATTTTGATGACGTCAACAATAACCACAAGTAATTTATGTTCTTCTTACTCCTTTACCTCACTGAGACAGAAATAATGCTGGTAAAGAGGAAAGGTTGGGCATGAGGCTAGCAACCCCATCCTGTAAAAGTTAAACACTGCTACAGAAACTTCAAGCCACTAGCTTGGAGCCCTATGTTCCACTGGGAACGTGAAGGAAAAATTATTATTATTATTTGACAAACCTAATGTGCACACACATACACACAAACACAAGAATAATTATACATAATTGCGAGTCGCCGAAAAAACAGACTTATTCATTTTCAGTTCACTCACACACAGAGTTGTCTGAATAAAATCTGAACGCTGAGTCAAGAACCCGATGTAATTCGTAGAATGACTACTTGTCACACACAACCAGATAGTCTGTCAGTCAGCCGGTCAGTAGTCGACTAGATTAGAGTGGTGCTGAACTCAAGCTTCTCTACACTAACAATTGTTACACATTCATGTGACTACTTAGTTAAAGGTAGAAAACAAAACATTTCTGAAAAACATTAGCCCTTTTAAATTATGTTAAGTAAAAATCAAAAGAAAATATGACTTACACTTTCATCATGGCTTCCAGCAAATATAAATTCAACCAGTTGATTTTCATTGATTTCTTTATTATCCAAAGGACAAGTACTCGTATAGAGAAGTGAATCCTCTGAACACTAGAATCCGCAGAAGAAGAAAGAGTAACCGGGGTTAATTACTGCGAGAGATGCGTATTCATCATCAATCATTCCAGTGAATTTACTTCACACAGTGTTTACCACCACAGAGGTTTTATGTGGTGGTATTCAGGAATACTAGGGGGATATAAGCACGTCACAGTATATATCAACTATAATGTTCATTAAACCCAATCTCAAAACAGCAAAAATGAAATGTTACATAACGACTTCTTACTTACTTACATGCAAACAACTAGCTGTGAACTTCACTTATCAACCAGTGATACTTACTACCCAACTGCCAACGAACTCTAGTAGACGATACTCTGCAGACAATATAGTCCTTCTAGGCGAAGACGCTGACAAAATGCTGAGTCTTCTAAACACCTTGAGCAGCAATCTACGAGTGTTTGGCATGCGATTCGCTCCCACTGTCAAATGTAAGATGATGTTACAGGACTGGACTACATCGACGCCTAGTTCAAAAATAGGAAGAGGGCTAGCTTCGCAAATGCCAGTTTACGCCGACTCTGGCGTAGACGAGATGTTCGACTATCGACCAAAGGGCGGGTGTACTGCTCATCAGTCCGCTCCGTCCTCCTTTAAAGCTGGCTGTGAGACCTGGCCACTGAGAGTGGAAGACATGAAAAGACTAGCTGCCTTTGATCATAGGTGTCTGCGTTCTATTTCCCGTGTAAAGTGGCATAATAAGGTGAGCAACATTGAAGTTAGGCGTCGAGTTCTAGGTAAACAGGGGAAATCAATCGACGAAGTCGTGAAGCTACAAAGACTGAGATGATTAGGACATGTGTTACGTATGCCAAGTCATCGCCTCCCTCGACGAGCAATGTTAGCGGATGTAGGATCAGGCTGGAAAAAAGCTAGCGGCGGTCAAACAAAAACTTGGCACCAGTCAATCAAATCCACAACAGTTGGTCTAAGCCACGTAGGAAGGTGTAGACTTCCAGGCTGGGGTCCTCGGGACGGTAAAAATCTATGGTTGGAAACAATTGGTGACATGGCTCAAAATCGTTCTCGGTGGCGCAGATGCATCCACTCCTTGTGACTTATGATCTCCAATGAAACTGTTTTGTTCTTCGTTACTACTATTCCTTTGTCTCACACCTCTGCTCACTGTTTCTATTATGCTTTTCTTGTACTTTCTTCTCTTGCTTCGCGTGCTACACGGAGTGTGGCGACTTGAACTTCCGCACATTTGTGCAAAGTTCTATGTCGAAAACAGACAGACAGACGAATTCTAGTAGGCGGGATGGGTTGCTGACTCGAGGGAGTAGAGTAGAGTGAACCACAGCACAGAATCCATGTATACACATAAACGATGGTATTGTCCATTCAGGAACTTCTGAATACTAACTCGCCTTCAATTGGTAAAATAGAATTTACACTTTTACACATGTTTTAAATGACAGTAATGCGACATATCTTACTAATAATAAAGAGGCTAGATGTTCACGATAAGTAACTTATCGCATGACAACGTGAGGGTATTCATCTATTAACAACACATATGGAGCTGTGATTTATTTCTCTGGTTTCTTGACTTTCAGCTGTCAAGTCATAGGTTTTAAGTCTCCTCCATCAACCCATATTTGTGTAGCAGTCAATTTGTGTGTATCACTAGTCTTCACAAAATACGTCTGACTCATTACTGGCTGCATAAAGTTGCAAGTGGTCGTCAAATAATAATACTATTCCATTCCGGTGATATGAACACTTGCATTTGGAATAAAAATCTCACTGTGGACAGCATGCATTATCCAGGTGACGTCGGTACCGATCTGACAGACCGTTGGACAGATATAATCCAATAAAGTGGCTAACAGTACTGTGAAATATTTTCAGTAATCACTTTATATCCATGAAGGATGACGTCAGTCTGGAAGCTGAAGGATAATCAGGGACGCTTCAATTCTGAAACAGATGTATTCAGGTGTCCAACTTCCACCGCTATCCATACAGGGTGACTGTAAGGCTTACACAGAAATCCACTTGAAGCCGGTCACAAGTGAGCTATTCGAAACAACGGGAATTTGTGGGCTTTTCTGCACATAGAACTCTAATGCTATAATGTAAGTGGAATTTGACAACCTTCGAGATTGACTTTCTATTGACACTCATTTCAAAATTTCAGCTCATTGGCAAACACTATCTAACCAGTCGTACGTCTTTTCTTCTAGTCCAGGCGACGCGACCGATAGTTCTTACCTTGGCGTGGTGGTCGAACTTGCACATCACAATGACCCAACAAGCTACACTGACTGGGAAGTATCTCCCTGCAGGTCCCACCATGTCATGAAGATAAAATAAAATTCTATTTTGCTTCTATATTACTATTCCTTTTGCCTCACCTCCTACCTTGCTTTGTCTGCTACATGGAGGAAGTGTGGTTACTCGAACCGCTGCACATCTGTGAAAAGTTCTATGTTGAAACCAGTCAGTTAGTATAGACAACTCATCACGGTAATTGCATTCACTCTCATTACTAGTCAAACGACGTCTATGATATGGTAGGACATTCAGATGCATTCAGCACAACCAGATCATTACAAATTCATTAAAGTTAGTTAGCAGCTGCTAGGAGGGAACAGTAATACACACGTGCATAGAATACTATCCTGCTATTCGTTGAAATGCTGGACCTTATTTATTTACACAAACTTAAGGTAATCAGTCAAGTTTATATTCCATTCAGAAGAAACATTTCAGTGTAAGCATTCTCCACAAATGCAATCTCTTAGCTGCACAACTACAATTATCTAGTCAAAAACATTCATCAGTGATCGAAGAATATTCCATTCGATAACTTCTTCATGTTATACAGTAAGATATTCATAGTAGTAAAGGTACAGTCTGTGTTGACATTCGCTCTTAGTTAAAGATTGATTTGTCCTCACTGTCTCCAAGTATTTTGGTGTAAACAATACAACAAACTAACTTGACATATTCTTTGCAGTTTGACAGACTGAATATACAAATAAAAGAATGAATACCCATTATTAAGATTCCACAGCTCAGTGTGTGAATTTGCCAATCTTCTCACCGATATGTTTATTCTTATTTCCGTGTCTAAATGGGTGTACTTCGCAGGTCATAGGATTTCACGTTCCGGCTAGGTCCCTTAACGATCATTCATAGATAGTCAAGGAAGATACACAACTACGAAATCACTAAAGAACTTCATGTGATTCGATTACAAGGCGTTACTACGGAGTGTCGCGAAGTGTCAACATATCTATTCAGCCTAACCTGAAGGGAAACTGAGTTCTTCGCATACGTCACTTTGAATACATTTGCATCTGAAACATTTACTCGTTTTCAAAATATGGAGACACAAAAGGCATGTATGAAATCCAGCCAATAGTCACCGTCTCGGATGAAATACTTCGGCGGAAGTCAAGTGCACTTTGTGGAAACAAGATGAAACTTCCCCTAACTTTTCTCTCCAATATGTCCAAAATCCCACAATTTCGCGGTCAGCGAAAACTTCTGGCCTACTGAAGTGACTGTAAGGAATAAAAGTTAGGTGCACATCGGTATGTGACATTATGCGCCGAAGTCGAGGTACTTCCAGCAATACTACAGGAATACATGTACTTAACGTTTGCCTAAAAGGCTGTGAAGTACACCTGCAGCCAATGCTAGTCGGGATTCTTACCCAGCTAGCATTCTTTCTGGGCGCACTGCAGACTTTTTAGAGCAGGCTTAAGGACACTATCCCACGTATGTTTATGCGCCGTTAGTATTTTGTCCCTAAGTCTGCAGTGCGCCCGAAAAGGTAGTCAGCTGGGTTAGTAGGGGTACATATGTGAAAGACAAACACGATATTACTTACTGTTTTACAAAATTGGTGTCCACAAACAGCAGAGAGGACTGAATAGTATTCTTTGTTGCACAGATTACACAATAATGGGGTATGACCACCTGATGAGTCACAATCACTGAAGAAAATAGAAGACGAAGATGGAACTAACCTGTCGGTCCCTACGGAGGAATCGTCAACAGCTGCAGGAAAAGAAGGCTTTGTAGGATTCTTTTTTGGCAAATTCTTCCGGTTTCCTCTATGCTTTCTGTACCCCATGTTAATTTATAACCACGCAGCTAATGGGAACTTCAGACTCAGACTACCGCCCACTGAAATTATCCCGCGCTCTAGGTCATTCAAATGGACAAAGCGATTCGACTAAACATAAACCTCAGTTTCGAAATCATTGGAGTTAAACACATGTTGGTCATTTTCGTACGTATTAGTCAGCCATGTTGGATTGAAGTTCCCCAAACGTTCATTTGTACATTGGTTTTTACGTGTTTCCTGCAGCTATTCACAACTTATCTTGATACACATTGTTCAAAAATGTTGCCTTTCTCCTTGTTTCTATTTCTATTGCAATTAAAGTCGGCTATTTCCTTCTTTTCGGAGGCTTTTATCACCATATCAGTTCAACCACTCCATTCTAACTGTTCCATACAATGCATTCATGCGTGGTTTCTGTGTTTTAGTTGTTTTTCAGCTGTTTATGAAATAGCACAGTGTAGACGTTTCGGAATTCATGCACATGGTGGTAAAAGCTGTTGTTATTAGTTCGTTTGTTGGTTGCCGTTACTGTTGATGGCTCGATTGGTTACTTAATATGTAGAAATCTGTAAAAAGCAGTGTACAAATATCAGATGAATGGGGAATTCTTTTGTAATAGTGGGCCAAGTTAAACTTCAATGACCACTAACTGACAATCCAATTTGATTCACGAACGTTAGTTCAGTGTTGTATAGCTCTTGATTCAATTTTAATGCGTGCCTTATCAAGGCTATGGTTGCAATTAGGGGAGGATAGTGTTTTCCAGTATTGCCTGGACTTAGGGTTGCGGTGCAAGCGTTAACTTTGATTTGCATATCTAGCCAATAAACGTTATGCCTGTATGTGGTATACATTTTGGGCTGATACGCTGTGTGATGAGTTCTCTGAAACACGCTACTATCATGACTAAAGCATTAAGGCCATCTCAAGCAGGAGAGAGAGGCGTCATTGAAAATTTATGATAATAATCTACTTAAATTCCAAAACAGTACTTACAATACAGAATGGAATTCTCAGCATTTCTCACAATATTGCATTTGAATTATTCAAAATATAAATTAACCATAGGAATTTGTCTAAAGTTATGGTATTAAGTCAGAAATATTCCAGAGAGGATTGTAAATATAAGAATGATAACAGTAAGGCTTGATGGGATGAAGAGAGGGAGAACGGTTTATTTACTAGTGCGAAAAAAGTTAGTAAATTCATCCACATCCACTCGTTACATTCCTCCACGACGCATCCTGGATGCCAGTTGTCAGCCACGTCTCGTAAACCGTTAATGCCCAGCTCTTGCTACGCTGGGCCTCACGCTGTTCCTCGAAGCTTCTCAGAAGAGCTTAGTACTAACGGACGCAGAAACCAAATCACCGATCGGCGACTCGAAAACTCTTTATTGTAACACCAACATATAGCCAACTTTACAACCAAAGTCTATGAACAAATATTACAACAATAAATCACAATATAACTTCTGACGGTCTGTCCTGACTCCTTTCTGAACAGTGACCGATGAGACGATGACTGGCTGATTGATGCATCCCGAAAATTGGGGAAGTTGGGTATGAGCAAACAACCATGAATTGATCGTTAAATCTTCAACCACATTGACAACAGTTGTGAAATATACCTTTATATCAATGTATAAGTATTAGAATATGATATCTCAGGGTCGTAGTTTAAAACATAAGTGATTGTACCTGAAAACATGGCTCGAATTACTTGTTAACACTCGTTAGTAAGCAAAAATATAAACGATTATTATTAGCCTGCATTAAGTAAAATTCTGTTCTGGAGTTACTCACGACGAAAATGCTGACAAAACTATACGGAGTCATCACTTATCTTTAATTGATACCCGATTTAAATATTAATCAAGAATAAGAATCGATGTTGTACACACCAAAGTTATACGATGGAAATGACTTCAAGCTTTACATTTTCTCAAGTATCAAACACATACATTTTTTTAATGCAAGGACAATATTTCCATATTTCTCGATGTGGTTCACTGAATGACCAGTTAGCAGACTTTATGTGTCTTTCTCCGTATGCGTGTTTGAACAGGAATTAGTGTGAGTTGAAAGGTTATCTCCAAGTGAATTTCATCTGCATTCGCACTGATTGGTGCAGTGTAATATGGGTTGTGTGGATTCAGTGTATAAAAATACCTCTAGTTTATTATTGTTGCGCCACTGCCTGCTTAGCCGACCGCTAAACTAACAAATGTATATAGTTCTCATGATTGTTGCAGGTGCAGTGAAGGGGAGTGGGAAAATACCACTCTAATTTTCTTCACTATTTAACTAAGCGCATGTCATTGTAGTTGACGATTGAACGATCAATTCATGGTTGTTTGCTCAAACCCAACTTCCCTATATTTTCGCGGAGACATCGATATACCAGTCATCTTCTCATTGGTCGCTGTTCAGAAAGAAGTCAGCAGAAAACCGTCAGAAGCCTTAGTTAAAGCCTAATTTTAAAGTTGGATATATTGGTGTTACAATAAAGAATCCTCGAGTCGCCAATTGGTGTTTTCGATTTTGCGTCCGTTATTACTAAGCGTTTCTGAGAATCTTCGAGGAACAGCGTGAGTCTCAGCGTAGCAAGAGCTGGGCATTGACGGTTTATGAGACGTGGTTAACAGTTTCTGGCAGTGAAGTCAGTTTCTGACAGCGGAAACATTTTCTGACGGATTCAGATAGCTGGTGAAAGTTTGGATAGTCACCATTCATCTTTCCTGGTGCCGGTCAAGTCCTCTTTGAACAAGCAATATCTGGAACTTTTTTGGAATTGTGTCAAGTTCAGCAATGCCTGGGTCAAAGAAGGGACAGAGTGTCTTGGATGCAAACAGGAAAGTAAGTCATGGTGACTTGTCTGTTAATTGTAACGATGTGTCTGATGCTAAGCATGACATGGTTGATGTTACTGTTTCGCCGTTCAGGGATAATAGGAACATCAAACTCCTTAAATTTGAACCACGGTGTTTCGATGGAAACCCGGCTGATTATTTACAATTTGTAAAGGTGTTTGAGATCATGCTGAGTAGTTTTTTATTAAGTGATGAATTGAAATTGATGTATTTGATGAGGTATTGCACTGGAGATGCTTCAAGAGCTATACAGTGCTGTAAGCTCATGCCCCCTAATGAGGGATACGCTGAGGCTATGAGCATGTTACGTCAAAGGTTTGGAAGACCTTCAATGATTGTAAGGAACGTATACGAAGCTGTCAAAGGTAACGGCAGTCAACTACAAGATGACTCCAAGGCACTTACTGAGTTTTTAGATAATCTTATGACTTATAAGAATACCTTGATTTCTATGAATTGCATGAGTGACCTCAACTCGAGCTCAGTCCAAGAGGTAATTGCAAGACGCCCACCTACTCGGCTGCAAAGGAAGTGGGTGAAGATAAGCTCTCGTATGGAGGATGAGGATATCGATCCAAGGTTTGATGATATTCTGAGACTGGTGAAGGACAGTGTCAACCAGGCGATTGGCGAATTCGCCAGCATTTTGCATTCTAAGGTAGAACTTTAGGAACCGGTGAATATAAGGAAGGCATTTGTGGTGAAGTCTCAAGACACAACGAGAAAGGATGAGTGTATTGTTTGCTATAACATGCATCAATTGAGTGATTGTAATCGCTTTATCGCTATGTCACCCGTAGAAGGGTTAAAAATTACAAAGCAGAAGCGACTGTGTTTCAGTTGTTTAAAGATTGGGCATACAAAGTTGAATTGTAAGGCGACAAACAAAGGAAGTAGTGGTTTAACGGATATGCACCCACTTCTGAGGACAGCAAACGAACCTGGGATTTCGGTTAATTGTAATAGTATCTCTAGACACCTTGATACCCCACAAGTTTTCTTAGGGGTATTACCAGTTAAGGTGAAAGGACCGAAATCTTCAGTAGAGACTTGTGCATTGTTGGATAATGGTTCAGATGTTACATTGATAGATGCTGAACTGGCTGGTTGCTTGGGTATTAAGGGCCCAAGGCAACCCTTGGTTGTAAATGCTTTCAATTCTGCGAAAACAGTAGTATGTGAACGAGTGTCATTTCAGTTAGAATCCTTGGCTACTGGGGAAACCGTTGAAGTAGATACTGCTTACACCACCTCCAGTATGAAACCCGGCGAAGCTATAGTACCTAGTCGCGAAACGGTTGTCGGTAAGCCATACCTGGAAGAGTGAGAGTACTCATTGGATGCAGTGTGCCAGAAGCTCATAAGGTATTAGAAGAGAGATTCGGAGGTGCAGATGATCTGTTCGCGACGAAAACACCACTGGGATGGACAGTGAGAGGACCTATACCCATAGTCCACATATCATCATTATTCGCAAACGATGGGGACAAACTAGAGACTATGATTAAAAATATGTATGACAAGGAGTTTTGTGACTGCGGTGTCCCAGAGAGGGTCGTTCTGTAGAAGACTTAAAAGCAGTTAAAATAGTTGAGGAGTCTTGTAAATGCGAAAACGGGCGTTTCAGCGTTGGCCTACCATGGAGATTCAAAGATAGACAGTTGGTTTGTAATAGGAAAGTTGCTCTTAAGAGACTAATGGGTTTAAGAAGAAGTTTCTGACGCATGCAGACCTCTGGGCCAAATATAAGGATGTCGTCGACAAACATGTAATGATGGGTTACGTTGAAAGACTAGTTGATCAGAGTAAGCCAGGGAAGTGGTATTTGCCCCATCATCCCGTCTTTAACCCGGGGAAGCCAGGTAAACTCCCTGTGGTGTTCGATTGTTCTAAGAAGCATGAAGGAGTCTCTATGAATGATAATCTGTATAGTGGCCCACGTTGTGTGAGCTCATTAGTGGGACTGCTGTTAGGATTCAGAAAGTTTACAGTTGCTGTCGCTGCGGATATTGAGGAAATGTTCCTACAGGTTAAAGTGCCAGAGAGTGACAGAGATCACTTAAGGTTTTTGTGGTTTGATGACGGTCCTTGTGTCAGCCACGTCTCGTAAACCGTTAATGCCCAGCTCTTGCTACGCTCGGGCTCACGCTGTTCCTTGAAGTTCTTCAGAAACGCTTGGTAATAACGGACGAAAAAACCAAAACACGGATTGGCCGCTCGAGGATTCTTTATTGTGACACCAACATATA